AAATAGTCTACACATGAGACCTTAATAGTTATCACTGTATCACTAAACTTGGATTCCAAGCGAAAAACATTGGAGAAAATAACAAAAACTCAATGCAAACAATAAGCATCTACCATATTTACAGAATAATTCTGGTCAGGTCTATAAAATAGAGAGTATTTGTACAAATTACTGAAGACATCTTCTTGTAAGTTGGGGTGACTCTTGTCTCCTTGCAGCCTTCCTCAATTTACACTGTACTCTATTGCTCACTCACTTGCATAACTTTTCTGGAATGTCGCAATGGGCAGTGTCTCTCAAAGGCTTATCTGCTGTCCTCCTCTTCATTTCTCAAAGAGATACTCAGAAGCAATGAAGAGATGTCCTCTGATCTGCTCTCAACAACACGCCAAGGGTAGATGCTTGCAACTCCCGTTTTCATCAGATGCAACTGCAGTCCTCGCAGAGATGTTGTACTGCACAGAGTAGGAAACAATACTTAGCTGAAGACTCACTGGCTCAAGCCATTTGTGTCCAGCAGCACTTTGATGCTGCTAGCATTTTCTTCTTCACAATGCATCAGACATTTATTTTATAGGAGGTTGAAAAGGTTTTGCAGCCTATGGTATGGCGTAGCACATAGAACAGATATTTGGTTGAACTTCTGGTCCATTGATACATAGTTTCTGAATGCTAGAGAAAGGCTATGATAACTCAAGTGGCAACTGCCAAGCTTTGATGTTGTTCTGATTATAATAACTTTCTCCAGCTATTTAGAAATTGGAAGAAAGCGTTATCACATTCATATGCTTTTGACCCTTCAAAAATTGCTACCCTTGAGCTGAAAAAGAGCCAAATATTTCTCATCTGAAAAGGCTGGGGAGGAGCAGCAAAGAGAACAACAGTCAGGTTGTCAGGAGGTGCGGTCTGTTCTCGTGACAACGACCTTGTCTTCACACCTGCCCCCACACAATTTCCCTGTCCCGCTTTGCTCCATTTCTACCCTGTATCCTTAATCCTCACCTCACCATGGTGTAAGACACTATTTGGACACAAGAAAAAAGAACTCGACAGCAAATAGAGGAGAAAAGCCATGAAAGCTAAATGCTGTTTTGACTACATATTTACTTAAGCGTTTTTCTCTCTTCTAGTGGTTCTGTAGTCAGTGCGAAACTTTGTACAGTTCTGTTTCTTTTCTCTGGAAGTGATAGTATGAATTAGGCAGTTTTCTCTTGTAAAGATCAAGGAGGCAGTTGAAGGCTTTTGGGTTTCTGGTGTGATTTATTGATGGGCATGGTCAAGCTATCAGGACAAATTACTCTCAAAATCAAGCACATGAGCAACAGCTGTTGGCTTACTGCTGTATTTTTTACTGCTTACCTGAGAGATGTTTTACTCTGGAAGAAGCATAGACATGTCTGTGCCTGCAGAGATCCAGCCTTGGGACATGTTGCAGGAGGGCTGCCAGCCATTGTGATGCAAACAGTGGGAATGCTGGGAAGGTTCCATGACGGATGCCAGCCTTGTCTACACCTTCACCACTGGCCACCAACACCATAGACTGCTCACAGACCACATCCCACAGGTCCCAATCTATGGGACCTGATCTTCATCCAAGATTACTGAGAGTTGCTGTTACAAGGATACTCTCATTCACCTTTGGAAGGCTGAGGCAATTGGTTCTGGGACAAATCTGTCTGGAAATGTTACCCAGGCTCACAAAAGATGCAGGGATTTGGAACACTCAGGAAGGAATAACTGAGGGCGAATCCTTCCTGACCAGCCTGATTGCCTTCTACAATGTTACCCCTGGCTCAGTGGATGACGGGGGAGCAGCCCATGTTGTGAACTTTGACTTTAGCAAGGTCTTTGACACAATATTCTATAGTATCTTTATAGCCAAATTGGTGAGGTATGGCTTGGAAGGATGACAGCAAATTGGGTGGAAAATTGACTTGCTAACGAGGCTCAGAGTCTTGGGATCTATGGTATGAAGTTTGACTGGTGATCAGCTGCTAGCAATGTTTCTCATCTGATATTGAAGGTCCATACTGTATTAATGATTTGGCTGATGGGATGGAGTGCACCCTCAGCTGGTTTGAGAACTGTGCCAAATTAGGGCAGGTGGCTGGTATGCCAGCAAGGGCAGGGATGAAGGGCACTCAGGGGGACCTGAACAAGCTGGAAAACAGGTTGACAGGAACTTCACAACAGTCAGTAAAAGCAAATGCAAAGCCCTGCACCTGGGAGAGAATAAACCCATGAAACAGTACAGGCTGGGCACTGCCTGTCTAGAAAACAGATTTGCAGAAAAGGATCAGGGGGTACATGGTAGAGAAATTGAATATGAAGCCTGGCAGCCAAGAAGGCCAACCACATCCTGGGCTGCATTACCGAAAGCACAGGCAGATCTTATCGCTCTCTCCAACTGCCTCATGAGAGGCAGCAGAAAAAGATGGAGATGGATGCTTCTCAGAGGTACATAGCTGTAGACAAGAGGCAATGGATATAAGCTGCAGCATGGAAAATTCCAATTAGCTGTCAGGAAAAAAATATTTTCATTATGAGGGTGGTAAACTATTGGAATAAGGGCCCACAGACAATGGGATGTCCATTCCTGGAGATATTCCACTGCACCAGGCATGGTGCAACCTGACATAAGCTGGCCCTGCTTTGAGTGATGGGTGAAAACAGATGACCTCCAGAAGTCCATATCCTGTATTTCCCTAGGACTCTGCAAGTAGATCAGTATTTAAAAGCCACGGATAAAGATACATTCCCAGGGAAAGTGCAAACTTTACTGCTCTAAGCAGCAAAGTCTCAGGGATATTTAATGCTCCATAGAAGTGCTGAGGATGAGCAGGTCCTTAAAAATTTGTGGCTGCTTTTTGCTTGAGGCAACAGTGAGGTTATTAGAATTCACAGGTTAATGTGAAAAGTTTAGTTCTGGAAACCTTCCTTACTGTAACTGAAAGGTAAAATACAACCTACAGGCTAAAGCATAGGACACAACATTAGGAGAAAAGTAGTGTGATTCTGATTCAGTGGCAGACTTGCTAAATGACTTTGGAGAAATTATCTGAACTTTTTTATGCCTTACCTTCACAACACGTAATACAAGACCAGTAGGATATTGCACAACTGAGACAAATTCAACATTGTTTTTAATTTTTGTGTTTAGGTGTAGTGGAAAATATTGCTGTACTTTTTATTTGATGAAAGGTATTACTATGTCTTTTTTATATTGAACTGGTTGTAAGTTTCAAACCACAGATCACTAAAATCTTACAAGAATATTTTCTAAGCTCAACCAGTAGTTGCAGCAATAGCTTCCTTAATAAACCCTAAAAAGAACAGTTAGACATTGCTAGGGAGAGTATTACATTTTCTCGAACTATTGCTTTTTATCTTGTAGAATCTTAACATAGGGATAGAACAGAACATTTAACGAGCTTTTGGATTTAAAAGTCCTCAAGCATATCTTCTAACTTGGAAGAATGAGAACATCCTTACTCTGAACACTTTTATTATTCATACTGAAACTCCAGCGACTGTGTCTTTAAGTTTTTGAAGAGAAAGGAGTTTTTCCTGCTACTACTTGCACGGCCAGGGTTTGCAGCAGAATTGCTTCACCACTGATCACAGAATCACAGAATGGTAGGGATTGGAAGGGACCCCTGTGGATCATCTAGTCTAACCTCCCTGCTAAAGCAGGGTCACCTACAGCAGGCTGCACAGGATCAGGTTTTGAGTATCTCTAGAGAAGGAAACTCCACAACCTCCCTGGGCAGCCTGTGCCAGGGTTCCGTCACCCTCAGAGGGAAGAAGTTCTTCCTCAAGTTCAGATGGAACTTCGTCTGCTTCAGTTTGTGCCCATTGCCCCTTGTCCTGTCGCTGGGCACCACTGAAAAGAGTCTGGCCCCATCCTCCTGACACCCACCCTTCAGGTATTTATGAGCATTTATAAGGTCCCCTCTCAGCCTTCTCTTCTTCAGGCTGAACAAGCCCAGCTCCCTCAGCCTTTCCTCGTAGGAGAGATGCTCCAGTCTCCTCATCATCCTTGTAGCCCTCCGCTGGACTCTCTCCAGCAGCTCCTCATCTTTCTTGAACTGGGGAGCCCAGAACTGGATGCAGTACTCCAGATGGGGCTTCACTAGGGCAGAGTAGAGGGGAAGGAGAACCTCCCTCGACCTGCTGGCTACACTTTGCTTAATGCACCCCAAAGACAGAGAAAAACATTTTGAAATTAAAGGGGGTGAAGGCATAGTAGCACCTTTGTGTGTATCTCTGCTGCTCTGCCAGATTTCTGGTAGCAGATATATAAATTGGATACAATTAAGAATATAGCCAACAGTGTATAATGAAGAGGATCATGATAATCTCACAGAAAATCCCTGCCAAAACTTTCTTCTTTTCACATGCCTTATCCTCTTCATTTATATAAAGACTGAGTCAATACTTTTCATTTATAAAAAGACTGTAGTGTACAAAAAGCACATGCAGAGCAGGTGCTCACATCTCTTTGGAAGACTACTGTTTGATAACAAGACAGAAGCATTTCAGGAGTACCAGAAAGCATTTAGCCTTGTGGGCTGCCCTGTTTCAGGGTTACTACGTGTATTTTACCAGTGCGTCATGAGGAAAGTTCCTGCAAGGGCTCTCAGATCAATATATTCACCTCTCGGCTGTTATCTGAGCAACGGAGCAAATGTTGCTGAGAGGCTGAGTGGCATTCGTACCGCAGGAGAGAAATACCCGTATCTGTATATCCACTTATGTGACTATAAACAAATACTCCCATGTGTGCTTTTTCACTTTCCACCTGATCAGCCCTTTTTCTTTCTTGCACCTGTAGCCGCTTACAAGCAGATACGTTTTGCAGTAACTGGAAATATTTAATATGTATCAAACAGAGCAAGAATAAAAACAAACCCCAAACATATCAACACTGGTAGGCTTGATACGTGAGATGACAACAATTGGTCCAACCACATTTGTCAGTTCTTTGTGGTTTCTGGGCGATGGGCGACATCTCAGGAAGCAGAGCGAGCCGGGTGGCAGTTGCAGTTCCTCAGCAGCACTTCTCTGTGAAGCCGGGGAGCTGTGCAGCACGAGGCGAGCCTCCTGCTATGCCGTTGGAGCGTCCACGGGTAAGTGCTGCGAAGGTACTCAGCAGAGGTACTGGAGGCAGATGTGCAGAAGGGAGTATTTTACTTCTCACCTTGGAGAGGAGGAGGGAAAGGTTATTAAACTCAAATGAGAAGGCTGCAGGTCTGGATGGAGCTTAATGCTTCCTGGTGGGAGGTAAGCTTAAAGCAAAGCTTTGAGGAAACTTTAGAGGATGGAAGTTAAAAGTGCTTTGGATTTTCAGTCCACTGTGGCAGTTGTGAATGACAGATTTTGTGAAATCTAAGGAAGCAAAGTAGAAGGTAGTTAAAAGTGTATTTTGGGAGTCAGTGTTACAGGAAAGGCACCTGGGCTCCTTTTACAATAGCATTCACACCTTCATAATCCTTTCTGAAAATTAGTTTATTAGAAGAAAACGTAAACCGGAGAGACAAGAGTAGTGTTGATAGTTTTGACAATCAATCTTTAAACAAAGAAGGCAAATTCCGTAGTGCTTCTACTAGCTTTCTCACAGGCTTTGACACTCATTCATGAAGAGAAAATATTTCAAAATCACCTCAGGTGGTAAGGACCACAAGTCCCCCTGATAGTCAGAGGATTGCCAGCTCTGTCTTCACTTCGGTGCTTTTGGACACTTTCCCTGATGCTCTCAGACACTTGCACAGCTCCGCAAGGATGGCTGGTGAGTGGTTTAGTGTCTGCTTCTTGAGGGGCTTTGGACGGCTGGCTTAACCACTGGTCATCTGCTCCAATGCTGAATTTTATATCCCTGTTGTCCGGTTGCTCAGCGTGTAGAGGAGGTCATTAGGAAGGCAAAAAAGGAATCCTGGGTGATAGGTTTTTTTATTTTATTTATGTTGCAGAGCTGTCCTTCATTAGTCAGATAGAGCAGCTGTGTGTCTTTCTCAGTGATCAGGGGAAAGAAAAGCATGAACTGAGTAATAGAGGTAAATCAGACAAGATAGAGCTGTGGCTGGAGGACAGAGAAAGGTGATCAGAAGGTACAGCAGCAAAAATGACCCATGTCACCAAATGCAGGCTGGTGTACGTGTGTATTATTCAGGTAACTAAACAGTGGTGTTCTGTTTGGATTCTGTAACTTGGCTGGGTTATCACGTATCAGGTGCATTTGTTTTATCTCTGTAGCCGCAGTGGCAGCTTTTTTTCTCTCCCTGTTGTGAACCCAGAGAAGACAGAAAGTAGCAGAACTGGTTTCTCACCTTCCACTTTGAACTGTACCATTGCTGTTCTCATCGTTGTGACAGCATTATCTGTTGAAGCACACGAACAACTTACAGCTGGGAAAACTAGGCTGCCAGTTTGAAGGGCGCCAGATACTCCACAATAACTGTCCATGAGCTTGCTGCTGTCCAGGAGCATCTCACCACATGACAGCTTAAATCTCCCCAGTGTTCTTAGCATCCATGGAAAGGCATCACTCCTTTGAGCATGCTGTTTATGTCTGGCCCCAAAAAAAGGTTATCTGCTGCTTTTCAGGTGGTGAGCCAAACACAGCCTCACCTTTCTAAGAGAACTGCCACAAAAATCACACATTATGCAAAAGTGGTGCTGAGGGCAGTAGGAAGTGTGATGGCTATTTTGCCTTGCTTTGTTGCATGTGTATATGCTATGGGGTTGTGCTTTATTTTGGTATGCAAAGGAACCGACCTTTCAAGTTCATTGTCAGGAGCAACTGTCAAATGATGAAGAGGTTGATGTAAAGGTGGTTTATTTAGAAGAAAAGTACTTGTCATCCTACAAAGAGCATTGCAGTGACTTTATTTGCCACTCTGTGGTGCCTTCCACAATGAAACAATTTGCTCAGTGAATGAGAAGAGAGCCATTGGACATCACCTACCTTGATTTTAGCAAGGCATTTGACATGATCATCTTAACAACCTGTTAACAAGCTGGCAAGATACAACCTGGACAGATGGACCACAAGATAGATGAAGAACTGGCTAAAATGCTGAACTGAATTGGTAGCGGCTTATGGCTCAAAGCTGAAACAGCAGCTAGTCCCAAGTGGAGTGCTTGCGGGTCAATACTGGGCCTGATACTATTCAATAGCTTTATAAAAAATTGGGAGGACAGGACTGAATGCACCCTCAGCAAGTTTGCAGATGACCACAAACTGGGAGGAGAGAGATGCTAAAAGGAAGAGCCAGCAGAGAGACTGTGACAGGCTGGAAGATTGAGCCAACGAAGAACTGCATGAGTTTTAACAAAGATAGTTGTTAAATCCTGCACCTGGGACAGATAATCCCATGCAGCAATGGGGGGGAGCAGGGAGGTGTTTAGGGGGGGTCTGAGTGCCTTAACATGTGCCAGCAGTGTGCCCTTACAGCAATGAGAGGAAACCTTGTCATGGGCTGCATCAGCAGGAGAACAGCCAAGGACTGTGGCCAGCAGGTCAAAGGTGTGATTATTCCACTCCACCTGGCACCCATTAGGCCACACCTGGGATGCAGTGTCCAGGTTTGGTCTTCCTGGTCCAAGACAGGCACTGAAAAATTCAGAGTGGCAGAATCTCCCTTGCTGGAAGTATTCAAGCCTTGGTTTGATGGGACCCTGGATAACCCAGTCTAAGGTCCTGATTTCAACAGGAGGTTTGGCTGTAAAATCGCCGAATGTCCCTGCTGACCTGGATGTTTTTATGATTCAACTACCATAATAGACAAAAACTAGGATGTGCATATGGCGCTCTGCAGTGTCACATAGAGGAACCGAAACTAGCTCTGGAGGAGCGAACTGAAGCGTCGAAAATACTACAGCCTCTAAGCCTGCAAAACTGGGATAAATTTGACTAGAGGGGGTGTCACACCAACACAGATTTATCACCAACTGCCTGTTTAACACTAGCTTTTGTATTTCTGCGTAGCATTGGGTTCTGAATTGCATGCATTCCTCAGATTCACGTGGTAGCATGCATATCTTCTTTTACCAATGCCATTGACTGCATTTACCCCTAAAACAACATGTGCTGGTGGCTTCTGAAGCTAAAACATAAAAGTTTGGGGAAAAAATACTTCCAAAACAGCATAAGAAAATACAATGCTGGAACCTCTCACCAGATTAATTGACTTCTTTCTAACTTAGAAGAGATCTCTGGTACACACCTGAAATCAGGTTCACGTGAGGATAATCTTAGGTGTGGAACGGAGTGAGCTCAGATGCCCATTATCTTGTCTAGGGGAAACTTCATCTGAAAATTAAGTGGAGATGATAGATTTTGATACAGAATTCATTATTTTATGGTCAGCTCACTGAACAGAGTGAAATCTTTCTTCTTAAGTGAAATTAAGGGGAAAAGAGTTTTAGCCAAAGGAAGAGGCATAAGGAAGATCTGGAGTGGATACTTAATTTTTTAAGTAAAAAGCTTTGCTGTATCTGCACTTTTCATTGTGCTAATGATACTCAGCAGTGAATGGCGACTTCTTTCACCATGAGGGTTGTAGAAATCATTCAATCACTTTCAGTGATGATCCTGATTTGGTGGTGTAGAGAGAAAAGAAAGTGAGAAATGGGAATCTCTTCTCAGTGAGTTCATGCTTCTCATTTCCACTTCAGTAGCACAATTAAGCATATTAACTGTATGCTTTACTTTCTTCGTCTCCCCACATTCTTAACATCGCTGATACTGACAGGAAAGCTGTTTCAGGGATATCTGTTCTGTGAAGATGTGTTTGAGTTAGCACTTAATGTGCTAACTTGGGAACCAGACCCAACGGGGCTAAAGAGGCAGGTTGCTATGGACAGTCTGACAAAACCTGTTGAGAACCTAAAGGGCATGTCACTGCCCTACTGTGGCCATTCTGCTTTGGGATCAGAGCTCATATCTGCACAGGGTATCTCCTGCACCACCTACTGTTGTATCAGCTTATGCTGGTGCTATTTTGGGCTTGTCTCCAGCATGCTCCACTGACTCTAGGTGGGGTTTGCTTTTTTTTTTTCAGTACATCTATCATGCAGGGCTCATAATACCATACAGGAATGTCCTGTCAGTCTCTTTTCAGCTAAGAAGAGCTCATAAGAGCTATAGTGACTAAAGATGTAAAATATTTGGTGCTTACACTTTCCAGTGATCGGAAAGACATACAGAACATCAAATAACCAGGTTTACATGAAAAGAAGGAAGATAGGCAGTGAAGCTAATCAATAGTTTATTGTTTTCGATTCTACTCTTTTATAGAGAGGTCTAAAGACCAACCAAGAATAAGGGCCCAATGGTATGGTGCCCTGTGCAATACCACAGCACAGGGCACTCCAAAACCAAATGAGCAGATTTGGACTGGCAAAACAGCATTATGGCCACAAGCAGCGTGGCCCAAGATTTTCTGGAGAGTCCTGTGTCAATGAAATGGGGAGAGAGGCTAAGACAAAGCAGGTTAGGAAGATGGTGGGACAAACAGCATGTGTGGGTACTCTTCCCACAGCCCAGAAAAGCAGCCCTTACCTTTGGTGTTTCTACTGCTGCTCCTGGCTGAACTCTTTGGCTGCATCCTTAAAAGTTTCAGCTGAACTTCAAATAGGCAAAAGTCTTAAAAGATGTATCAGTAATGAGCTTATTCCTAACACAATTACCTTCACACTTTGGCAAATTCATGGAAGATCTATATTTAGCACAAATGCTTATCGTTAGCTCAGAACAGAAGCCTCCAGATTTAACAGGAAAATGAGCCATGTGAGCCCAAACACGTAACAGAGGTAACAGAACACTTACACGCACACAGCTTTTAGCTGTGCTGATAAGGAAAGGCTCTTGCAAATCAATGTACTTTATGGATGCAGTGTGGAACAATTATCTCATGGTAAATTCCTCATTTCTGAAAGAGATAGGAGGAACCCTGAATTCCCATCTAACCCAGCTGTAGTAGCACAGTCATGTATTTCGTTGTACTTATGCTGAGGTGGGAAAGCATCTTCATCATAAGTCTAGCAATACTGGTACTAGGCTTTGCTTTCTGTACTGCTCTTAGGCAGACATTCTTGGACTAATTTAGGGAGGTTTATTCCTCTGCTA